AGAAGCTATTGAAATTGGAGGAGGGAGAAGGTAATTGAGGGGAGAAGAAGGAAATTGGAGGGGGAGAAGGAAATTGGAGAGGGAGGGGGAGAAGAAGGAAATTGGAGAGGGAGGGAGAGAAGAAGGAAATTGGAGGGGGGAGAAGGTAATTGGAGAGGGGGGGGAGGAAATTGACAGGGGGAGGGGGAGAAGGAAATTGACATGGGGGGGGGGAGATTGACATCCATCACACACAATGCACCCCTTGCACACAGAAAAACACACAATGCATTACACACACACAAACACACATACACAAGCAATGCATCCCTCACACACACAGCAACACACAATGCACCCCTTACATACACTCAATGCATCCCTTACAGACGCACACACTGCATCCCATACATACACAAACACACCTTGCAGCCCTTACACATACAAATTCACACAATGCATTCCTTACACACATCAGGACATCCCCTACACACTCCACCCCCTGCCTCCAGAGAGCCTGTTCTACACCAGACCAGTGGAGCCAGACTGCAGCTATAGCCCATCATCATCCTCATCTGGTTGTAAGTAGGCAATCTAGTATATTATTTGTGGCACTAATCTCTAATTTACCTCACATTAAAGAAACACTATAGTCCCCAGAACCACTGCAGCTTAATGTAGTGGTTCTGGTGTCTATAGCCTGTCCCTGCAGGCCTTTTAATGCAAACACAGCGGCACTGCAGCACTGGCGTTAGTTAACATGGCAGATCATATGAGTGGGTCATTGTGATGTCACATGGGGGGGGCGGCAAACTTTACTTTTGCCTAGGGCGGCAAAAATCCTTGCACCGCCCTGCGGACACTGCATCCATGTGGGCAGACTCGGGGGGGGGGCAGCACTTTGGGTGGACTCGGGTGCAGGCACCGGGGGGCCCAGACCTTGAGCTGTGTCAGGGGCCCCAAAATTTCTGATGGCAGCCCTGGCTGTAGTTGTTCTGGTGACTATAGTGTCCCTTTAATGTATTCTTCCAATTTTAAATTTAAATTCAGCAGGTCAGGAATGTGTTGAATATAGAGAAGAATTTAAATCTCACTCTAAAATGGTTAGATCCATGTGTGAGAGGTAAAATAAGCAAACAGCGTGGGGCTTGTAAAAATAGCAGTCCATATAGTTGACCCCATTACAGTTATTTTATTTGCTAGCAAATTACTTTATTTTCCTGTGTGTAAAAGAGTGAATTTTCTTCCTCCTTGAAATTAGGTAGGCATCTAAACATGGTGAGAAGACACCAATTGTATCATTAAAAAGAGCTTCACTGGTAAAGATAAAATACAGTTTATTACCTGTAGTAGAAAAATATAAGTGTGAAATGATAGGTGATATTTTGTTTCAATTTGATCAAAATAGTGGACATGACTTTAGCCTAAAGGGCCACTAAACGCACACAGAGCACCGGATCTCGCAAGAGGAACTCGGCTGAGCTCTATCTTGCAGCTCTGCCGAGTTCCTCTTGCGTGATCCTCCTCACCCTCCCCAGCTGAATGTCTGTGCAAGTGGGCAGGTGAGGGAGATCTCTGACTCACTAGCCCGTCATGGAATACAGCGGGGCCCAGCACGGGTAGTGCCGGCCCTGCATGGACCGGGTGGGGAGATCCTGTGACCTCCCCTGCCGGCCTTGGCCCATGGACATTGTGGCCCATTTTGCCCTGTGTGCCTGATGGCAAGTCTGGGCCTGGTGTCACCAACAAAAATAATTATTTCCTTGCAATTTAGCAAGAATGTATGTGTGTATATATATATATATATATATATATATATATATATATATATATATATATAAAATTATTATTAATTTTATAAAGCACCAACAGATTCTTAATAGGAAATCATTAGGTGCTTTTTTTATTTGATGAATTGGGGGTTAGTGCTTGTTGGCATTCAGCACAATATGTAACATTATGGGTAAAGCTGTGTTTGTCTCTGAGCAAGTGATACAATTTAGCGTATTGCTAGAAGAGTTTCAATAACCATTGTTCAAAGCTACCCATTTCTCATTACATACCCTGACCTTTTGAGCTGTGATTTTCAGGATAATCATTGGGTTAGATCGAGATTGAGGTATATGCGGTAGAAATATAATCACTAAATATCAACAAAGCTGTGTATTTGGAATGTTAGGCCCTCTGCAGGAGGTTCTGCTCGAGAGAGTGAACCATTATTTGAAATTATCTGTCTGTATTTTGCTCCTATGTAAAACCGTTCCTGTTGTGATAGAAAGAAACTCTTGACTTTTTGAGGTCAGACCCAAACTGGGTAATCTTTCTTCTATGTCTGTCTGCATCTGGGCCATTTAAACACGGCAGATATTGCCTTGGCTTTGTGTCGTTATAAACCCTGTGTGTTTTCCGTGTTCTCGTCAGCCTGTTTCTTTTAGATACCATTATTCTGGTGTTTATGCAAACATTTCTTGAATACCTTAGATGGAATAAGACAGCACTGGGGTGCCAGATCTTTTCTAATCTGAACATATACACCAGGTATTTACGCTGCACAGGTAATGTGTAGTGTGCACGCTTCATTCATCCTTAGCCAACGCTGGGCAGAAACAATGAATCAGGGAGTTACAGCTTCTATTATTATTTAGAGCTTGCCAACACATTTCTCATACCGCCCTGCGCAACGGCTCCTAAACATTTTACTGCTGACTACAAAGAATCTTATTTCTGTAGAACTCCACAGGTCCACCAATAGCGGTCTCAAACATAAGTTGGCTTGCATACATAACTTCTGTTCTTCTAAGTTCTTTAAGACTTTGTCAATTGTATTCCTACGAACTTTAACGCCTTGTAAGAGCATAACAGATTTTAATTCAATATTGAAAAATGTAGAGGAGAAGTAATTTTAAGGACTACAAGTTACTAATTTGTGTTGGTTGTTGGTAAATAGGTTTTGGTAGATTAATGTTTTTCTTTGTTGACAAATGTGTCTGTCTTAGCGGTTTTCCTTTGTGTTTAATATACAAAAAAACAAAACAAAAAAACTAAATCAGTTTACTGTTTTAAAAAAAAAAATATATATATTTTTTATTTTATTGAGCAATGCTAGCAGATCATTAAAGGGATACTATAAGTGCCAGGAATACAAACCTGTATTTCTAGCACTATAGTTCCGTCTGCCTCCCCTCTCCCTCACACCCCCCATATCAACGTGAAGAAAGAGTTTAAATCCCTTTATTTACTTAACTTATCCCAGCAACGATGCCCCTCAGGACTGGGTCGCGGCTCTGCCTCCAACATCCCAAGCACGCATTTGACCTTCCAATAGGAAAGCATTGAATCAATGCTTTCCTATGGGGAAAAATCTGGCACTGGAGGTCCTCATGCAAAGCGCGAGGACGACCATCATCAGTTACCAAAGGTCTGTTAGGGTCCAGGAAGCGCCTCCAGTGGCTGTCTGGGAGACAGCCACTGGAGGCAGACAGTGCCAGAATGTAAACATTGCAGTTTCTCCGGAACTGCAATGTTTAACACTGCAGCACTAAGTGCAATAGGGACACTGCACCCAGAGCACTTTAATGAGCTGAAGTGGTCTGGGTGCCTAGTGTCCCTTTAAAGAACATGTAAGTAAACTTACACAGACATTAGGCAAATAGGGGAAGAAAGGGATGGCACATAGCAATAATTAGGCAATTGAGGTTTTATAATAGTTGTTCTAGGATAGGATAAGCAGTGTATTAAAATGACTGGTGTGGCCGGTGACTACACCAGTCTGAAAATGCCTGATCTTGTCAGATCTAAGCAGTCATCCAGACATATGCCTGATTAGTACTCGTATGGAAGACCAACTTGGAACCCCAGGTCCGCAGGCTAAAAATACATAAAATAACTGGTATGCATTAGAAGACCAATGTAAAGTAAGAATCAAATAACAATAAGGGCTAAAATTTTGAACGCAGAACTTAAAAGCTTAATTTCTACTTGCTAAATGCAAATGGAGGAGTTGAAGAATTGAGTTCTGCTTGAAGGTACTTATTTTATTGACTTTAGAATGATAAAAGGCTGTTTGACCCTTCCTGGAATTGAACCTGTGCTTCTGAGATAATACAGCGTGATCTCTTATCATTGAACAATATAAATGTGAAATGTTATTAATGATGTAATATTAACAACTGATGTTTTGAAATCCCTTAAGAAATAAAAATAAATCTTTTCCTAAAAAAATAAACAAATTGAAAATATTTAAGATGCACACAAATTGGGAATCTAGAAGTACTCCAGGACTCATATTATAAGCAGACAAAAACAGTGGAAATTGATTTGATTTTTAAAGTTTCTTGTGTTTTCACTGCACAATGCTGTGCTAAATCCGTGGGGCTGCATGAGGTCAAAGCCTTGAAAAGTCTAAAAAAAAAAAAAATAATAAAAATTAAAAAAAAAGACCGCTTGCCTTAAAACCTGACCACTAAGTGAGATCATATTTGAAGCAGCCACCAAATTCTGTAACATTGTGTAATGGAATGCTGTAACACAAGTCATTGGAAATATTACTTTTTTGTAGACCCGCTGAATCAAAAAATTGCTCATGTAAGTTTGTATGCGCTAAAAAAAAAATATATCTTTTTTTAGTAGACATTGCTAGATACGCTACATATTTCATTCATTGCCTTGATACTTTGCCGAAGCACATCCCCAAACACATTCAAACTGACCCCAATATTGGGACTGTAACACCAATTTCAGGACTATTGGCAAGTATACATAAGACTCAATTTCTATAACCAGCTACTTCCATCTAGCCTTTTGGTTTGTTTCTGATTACTGTCAGTAATAAGATGCATATTGGGTTTCCCAATAAATAAATCAGAAAAATCGGTTTGAAATATGAAGGGGGAAAAAATTGGTCGGGGAAGTAGGTTGGAATTACGGCAAAGCAGGCTCTCAACATTTATGGCAGAAAGCAAATAATATAATTGATGTAAATAAAATAAATAATTGAGGACATCTGGAGGCATTCAACGCAGCAACCAGACTTATTGATAAGTCGCTCGCGAATCTTTTATGTGTGGCTAATTCATATCTGATGTCTGAATGGCTTGGATTTAATGTGCACTCCAACTCAATAAAGAACAGCTTTCTTTCATTTCAAAGCCCAGGTGACATCCAAAATGACTGTGGCTATTAACCCCTCGAGAGCTGGCTGGCAGGTTGAGACTTCAAACACCTCTGGGGTTCTAGTTACTAAACAGAGACTTTTGGCCAGGTACAAAATAAAAAAAATCAGCCTTTTCTGCTACTTTTGGCTACATTCTGCAAATCAGTGCAAGAATAAATTACATTTCTGATGGGTTTTTTTTTTCTCATTAATTTTATTTCTTTAACCCTATTGAATAAAATGTACTAGAATTGTACCAAACAAGAAGTCACAATATTGTTTAATCATTCAAATGGCGATGGAGGAGAATTCACTAGAGAATTGCATATTTTTAGGGGACGTAGCTGATCTGGAATAACATGACCGCTGGCCCATTTATCCATGGCCCCCACCGTTGCCCCCCAATAACACAGCAGACACTTTCTTACTGGATAAGGGCAAGGCCTGCAGCTTTATTAAATTTTTAACTTTAACATCATTATCCAACCCTGTCAGCTGTTGAGCGGTTGCCCAATAGACAGTTCCCCCAATATTTCTCCATGAGCCTAGACAGCCCTCTAGTCGCTCAATCTGGTTTTATAATTATCTGACATTTTAGGTTTTACACATGTGGTCCTGGAACTGTGGTTGAAGTACAATATCTTTGATGATGATCAAACCAACAAACACATACCTGGGAATGTTCTAAAGTTTGGCTTTGAGATGCTGAAACATATTAAGCCTCTAATCACCCACCTCAAAGACAGTGACAGCTGGTGAAGTTCTAAGATGATTGCCCGCTAGATTCCAAGCTTTGAATTTGATTCTACACCCTGAGTCTGTAAATCACATTTTACTTAAAGGGACACTCCAGACACAAAAACAACTTCATCTAAATTAAGTTATTATGGTGCCAGGAGGCGCTCTTACCTCAAGGGGTTAAACAGTTCTCGAATTACTTAACCCCTGAATTGCCTCCAGAGGTGATGTCCACCTCCCCCAGGCGGTATCTGGCTTCTGAATTTTCCGATTCGGGGAGCATGGAGTGCTGCTGCGCAGGGGCGCTGCTGATTGGCTGAGAGTGGTCAGCTGACTCTCTCAGCCGATCTGTGACTCTCCATTGACAAAACTGGCTTGGAAAAGGTACGTTTCTTTCCAAGCCAGTTTTGTCAATGGGGAGTCGCGAACGGTTTAACCCCGTTGAGGTAAGAGTGTAAATAAAATAACCATTTGCGAGGCTCCCTAGTTCATTTTGAAACATGAAGGAAGCACCTTGTGGCAGTGGTTCTGATGATATTTCCATTCACTGTGAGTTTAGAGACAACATTACCAGTTAAGATTATGGGTTTAACAGAATTTTAGACACTTGTCTTAAATGGATACAATAGGCACCAAAACAGCTTTAGCTTAATGAAGCCGTTTTGATGTATAGATCATGTCTCTGCAGTCTCACTGCTCAATTCTCTGCCACCAAAACTGCTTCATTAAGCTAAAGTTGATTTAGTGACTATATTAAATTGAGGTAGTGAGGGGGAGGGTAGTGTATTAAACTGGGGGGAGGTCAGTGTATTTAATTGAGGCAATGGGGGAGAGCATTATATTAAATTAGGGGGAGAAAGGGGGAGGGCAGTGTAATAAATTGGGGGGAGTTGGGCAGTGTAATAATTTGGGGGGATGGCAGTGTATTGGTGGGAAGGGGCTGTGTATTAAATTGGGGAGAGGGAGCGGAGGCACTATTTTCGATTGGGGGAGTGGGCAGTGTATTAAATTTGGAGGAAGGAAGTGGGGGCAGTGTATTGAATTGGGGGGGGAAGGGAAGGGCGGAGGGGCAATGTATTAGAGTGGAGGGACGGGGGTGGGGGGGCAGTGTATTGAATTGGGGGGGAAAGGGAAGGGCGGAGGGGGGCAGTGTATTAGTTTGTACGCTATTGGGCCGGTATGCAATTATTTCCAGGGCTGGTTTTCATTCCCAGTCCGGCCCTGTGTATAACTAAGGCAGAATTAAAAGCAGTCTCTACCTAGTATGTTACTGCACAATATATTGAAATGAATAAATTATACTGACATATTGTACCTAAAATGAATATATACTGTATGTTTACATTTTACCCAGTTTGCAATCTCTGCATGCATATTTTTCTGCATTTCTTTGCTTTGTGAGACACATTCAGTAAAGTGGTAATTGTAGGGATTCACAGTAAATCTTAACTTTAAGGCCAAAGTAGTCACATTGGAACCTTAGCTGACTTTTAAATTTATTTGGAATTTACTTAGAATTCCAGACAATCCTGACTTTTGTGAATTACCATGCTTAATAAAAAAGAAAAAGAAAAAAGAAATTAAGCAATCATAAGATGATTAGTTATTCAGACATAAAACCTATAATTAGTTTTACAGGAGTGCAAGGTGTCATATGAGGCTGCACAGTTATAATTGGGGAAGTGTGAGAAAAGACAGATCCAGAATCATTAAAGGAATGGATTGAACTCAGTAACAAGGAGGGGGATGGGCTGATACAAAGTGTTAAGAATGAAGAAGGTGAGAGTTGCACAAATGGTGGTGCAATCACCATGGAAACCAGCTGAATGATCATTGCTCTGACTTTGCCCCACATTTCTGTTTGTGACATTATATATATATATATATATATATATATATATATATATATATATATATATTTACATCCCTCCCAAAACAAGGAAAAGAAAATGAAAGGCTGTCAATGCATTCTGGGAATTGTAGTCAATGGTCTACCTTTTGGCCATCTCTGGTGTTAGCAGACTATCTTTCCGATATAAATAACAATCTGCCCTAGTATGGTATGGTGTCACCTTAAACCGAGCATTCCACAAAACATTATAAAGTACTAACTCATAACTCCCAGCATTTCAAATGGACAAAGGGATCAATTAATTTGAGGGGTGTGACTGGGCGGCATTACTGTTCTTTGAAATTTTAGGTGATCAGATTTACTAATAACAATTCATGCAACTAAAATGTAATTTAGAAAAGAACAATGTATCTTATTTACACAGACTGATTTCTAAACACCTTCATTGTAGTTTAAAGACACATTACTTATTGCTGTAGAGCTCTGTTATACTCTCAGACACAGCGACAATACAGAGCTTCTAGAAAAGAGGGACAATAGGATAGAAAAGGGGACCGAGGGATATGGGCGGAAAATAGGGGTTGTCTCTCTTAAACAGGGACACTTGTCAGGTATGCTAAATGATGCGGTGCTGAAGGAAGGTCAACTATTAAAACCCTTAACCATATGGGCTGCCTACAAATATGCCCAAAGGTTGTGAATGGGAAGGGTTAAGGGAGGACTGTCTAAGGGGCCCTCCACTACCCACCCTTGTGATTAAACTGGCAGCTGGCTAACAGAGAAAGCGTTTGAGCAATTTTGTCAAAATCAGACATGCTTGGAGGTGTTGTATGGTCAGGCTTTATATGAATATTATGAGCTCCGCAGCTGTTCGGCAGCTGTTATTGAAATGCATAATATTGGTTGATTACTCATAATTCCTAGGTGACTGAATAACACTGGAATCAGGGCTTGAAAAGCGCTAAGGATTATCAACAGTTCCCAGTGCTTATTTGCTACAATCAGAAAGCAATACTGAGAGAGCAGAATCCTCAAATAGAATGTTCCTCCTTGTCTGAATGCTTTTTCCTTGGATTAACGCAGTTTGTTCAGTTTCACAGATATGTTTATGACGAGTAACTGCTGAC